TGTGTGTGTGTGTATATGTGTGTGTGTGTGTATATATGTGTGTGTGTATATATATATATATATATATATATATATATATTTATAAGTATATACAGTAGTTTAATTTGATCATTTTAATAATCAGTATTCTTGTTAATTTACCTGAAACTTCAAAATAAAGTGTCACCCTTTACTGAAGGCTGTTTCAGGGTCTTATCGCCACCAGCTAGTGAGGCGCATGACGTAAATTTGAACCCCGCCCACTAGAACCGTTACTGAAAGTATAATGGAAACACAATGCAGTGTTTCCCCTACCATTATACAAGCGGGGCACCCCGTCCCATCAAGACCCAAGCGCCCCGTCTACCGAACTTCACCCCCCCACCCCCACCCACCTGTCAGCACTGACGTAACGCTAAACTAGCGGCTCGCATTGCAGATGTGCTAGCTAAAAAGCTAAAGGCAGCCTCTTCCTTCATGTTGAAGCTTCACGCTGAACGCACCCCCGCCACTCGAAAACTGTCAGTTCAAACAGCGCATGGCTCAGATGTGTGTCTGTCTCTTCCCACGCCGAACCCCCCCCCCCCGCAACAAAAAAAAGACTGTTGGTTCAGACAGCGCACGGCTGAGATATGTCTGTCTCTCTCCTCTCACACACCCTGCTCTAAAACTGTTTGTTTAAACAGCGCGATGTGCAGCTTAGGACGAGTCTCTCTCCCTCCCCCCCCCCCCCCCCCCCACGAACAGATGAGCGCCCTGCCATGGCAAGTTATCTAGGGGAAACACTGCAACGTGTACCGTACAGAGCCGAGTCAAACCGTGCTGTACCGGTACTAAAGGTACTAATGGAAAAGGGGAATAACTGCTTCCATGTTTCTCCTCTTTGGCCTTCCTCTTTTGTTTCCTGGCAGCTGCATTTCTAACATCCTTCTACCAATATACCCACTGTCCCTCCTCTGGACTTGTCCAAACCATCTCAGTCTGACCTCCAACTTTATCTCCCAGTTGTTCAACCTGTGCTGTATCTCTGATGATCTCATTCCTAATCTTATCCATCCTTGTCTTTCCTAAGGAGAACCTCAATATCTTCATTTCTGCCACTTCCAGTTCTTTCTCCTTTTTGTCTCTGTCTCCAGACCATACAACACAGCTGCTCTCACCACTGTCTTGGGGCGGCTGTGGCTGAGTGGTTAGAGCAGTCGTCCTACAATGCGAGAGTTGGGGGTTCAAATCCACCAGCAGTCAAATGTCGAAGTGTCCCTGGGCATGACACTGAACCCCTCATAGCCTCTGATGTGTGTCCCATCGGTGTATGAATGTGATCTGAAGCACTGATTAGTCTCTTTAGAAAGATTTGTTCAATTAGCTTTGTAGAGATCTAGTAGAGTGCTGTATGAATGGGTAAATGAGGACACAGATTGTAGTGTAAAGTGCTTTGAGTATCTTGAAATAAGATAGAAAAGCCCATTTGTAAACTTTTCCTTTGACATTTGCTGACACCTTTTTGTCACAAATCTCCTGAAGCTTTTCTCCATTCACTCCATCCTGCCTGGACTCTCTTCTTCACCTCTACCACACTTCCCATTTTCCTGGACAGTGGACCCCAAGTCCTTGAAGTCCTGCACCTTTGTGACCTCTGCTCCTTGTAGCCTCACTGTTCCATCGGCCTCCCTCTCATTCACACACATGTACTTTTTTTTTACTACAACTGACTTTTATTCCTTTTCTTTCAAGTGCATACCTCCACCTCTCCAAGTTTTCTTCCACCTGTTCCCTGTTCTCACCACAGATCACAATGTCATCTGCTAACATCATAGTCCACAGGGATTCCTGCCTGACCTCATCTGTTAGTCGGTCCATCACCAGAGCAAACAAGAAGGGGCTCAGAGCTGATCCTTGATGCACTCCCACCTCCACCTTGAAGCTATCTGTCACTCCTATAGCACATCTCACCACTGTCCTGCTGTCCTCATACATGTCCTGTACCAGTCTAACATACTTCTCTGCCACTCCAGATTTCCTCATACAATACCACACCTCCTCCGTCAACACTCTGTCATATGCTTTTTCTAAATCCAATTGAACAAATTGAAAGCTAATTAATCCCCAATTATGCAAATGGCCACCTATTAAAACTGAAATTACATGGACACGAGAGTAGAGTTAATTATGATTGAACTTTGACCCATCTTTGAGTAGGTGAAGTAAACATGGAAGAATTATACTTCAGTCTCTACAACAAAACGTCTACTCTACATTGTTTTCTTCTGATTCCTCGTGTTATTTTGATCTCATGATAGTTTACTAAAATGATCTTTGGGTTTTTTCTTCATAGTCACTGCCCATTTACTCTTCAATATAATCCATTCACATAAACATTAAAACATTATAAAATATTAACAGTGACATTAGAGGTGCATAGAGGATGATCAAATTGTCAATTGTGTTTTCTTTTTGCAGACATACTCAGGTCTCTTCTGTGTGGTCATCAATCCCTACAAGAACCTGCCCATTTACTCAGAGAATATCATTGAGATGTATCGAGGCAAGAAAAGACACGAAATGCCCCCTCACATATACGCCATCTCAGAGTCTGCATACAGATGCATGCTACAAGGTAAGTCTGAGTTTTACTGTTCATATAACTCCTCGCTATCTCAGTCCACCACACTGTCAGGAAGTAACACTTCAATGGACTTTAAAATGTCACTGTCTGTGGGTTTCAAAAAATTTAGAGTTATTTATATATATATATATATATATATATATACATACACACACACA